CCAGTGGAGCCCCAGCCAAGGGTAAAGCACAAGGAAGTATCGAGCGACAGGATTGCCTTGGTGGGGATGGGGGCTGTCGGCGGTGAGGCAAGGACCTCGCCCTAAATAAAAAGGGAGGAAGTCTCGAGCAGGGCTGCTGTTGTTGCTGGGAGCGGCGCCAATGCTGAAGGGAGTATGGCGCTACTCCGCCATAAAACAGAACGAAGTCTCGGGCGGGAGCGCTGGCTTTGCTGGGACGGCGGCTTTCGGCGGCGAGGAGGAACACCGCCTTGAGTAAGAAATGGAGAAGCATCGAGCGGGAGCCGTGGTTTTGTCGGGACGGGGGGTTGTCGGTGGCGAGGAACAGCACCGTCTTCATGAAAAAGAAAGGAAATCTTGAGCGGGAGCGTTGTTCTCGCTGGGAGCGGCGCCAATTCAAAAGAAAGTAGGGCGCCAGTCCAGCGTAACATGGAAGGACGTCTCGGGCGGGAGCGCTGGTTTTGTCGGGGCGGCGGTTTTCGGCGGCGAGGAGGAACACCGCCTTGAGCACCGTCTTCAGGAAAAAGAGAGGAAGCCTCTAGCGGGAGCGTTGTTCTTGCTGGAAGCGGCGCCAATTCAAAGGAGAGTTGGGCGCCAGTCCAGCGTAAAACGGAAGGACGTCTCGGGCGGGAGCGCTGGTTTTGTCGGGGCGGCGGTTTTCGGCGGCGAGGAGGAGCACCGCCTTGAGTAAAAAGGAGAGGAAGCCTCGAGCGGGAGCGTTGTTTTTGCTGGGGGCGGCGCCGATGAAAGAAAGACTAGCGCGCCAGTCCAAGGTAAAACGGGAGGAAGTCTCGAGCGGGAGCGCTGGTTTTGTTAGGACGGCGGCTTTCGGCGGCGAGTAAGAACACCAGCCCTGAGTAAAAAAGAAGGAAGTCTCGAGCGGGAGCGTTGTTGTTGTTGGGGGGCCGGTTTTGGCGGTCCCCCAAACTGCTCGAGCGTGAGCTCCATTTTCAATGAAAATGTAGCCGGCGCCTTGGCGAGAGCGCCAGGGCGCCTTTAAGGGGTCCAACAATAATAATTGAGTAGTGATTAATACTCAACAATACCATCAACTTCATCAACAGCAACAACAGCAACAACAACAACAAAACCAACAGCACCAACGACAACAACAACAGCAGCAACAGCAGCAACAACACCTACAACTACAACAAACGACAACAACGACAAGAGCAGCAATACTTACAGCTACAATTACAAGTACACATGCAACAACTACAACAATACCAGCAGCAACAACAACAACAGTAGAAACAACAACATCGCTTCTCGGCCCCCGAGAAAGTACCAAGACAACCTCGAGAAGCTTCCAAGACGCCTCAAGGTTTCCACAGGACCCCCAGGAGGCCCTGAGAGGCCCCCAAGAAACCCCAACTGACCTCAAAAGGCGCCCGAGAGGCCCCCGTCAGGCCACCAGAAGCCGCCCCCTCCTCCGCGTCCGCATCTCCAGGAGATCCCCCCCACCCTGCCGCCCTCCCCACCACCGTCTTGGAGCCCCCAAGAAAGCTCCAAGAGGTCCCCGAGAGGTCTCCGGGTCACCCGGAGATGGTGCTGCAGCATCTCCGGGTGGCACGGAGGGAGACTTTTCGGGACCTTCGTGGAGTTTTCTCGAGGCCCTCTTGGGGCTCCTTTTGGGGCTCCTTGAGCGCTCCCAAACCGTCCTGGAGCCGCCCAAGAGAGCTCCAAGAAGGCCCCGACAGGTCTCCGGGCCACCCGGAAATGGTGCTGCAGCATCTCCGACGGACCCAGGCACTTTTCGGGACCCTTTTGGAGTCTTCTCGGGGCGGGGCCCTCTTGGGGCCCCAGCAGGCCCCCGAGAGGCCCTCAAAGGGCCCCCCAAGAAGCCCTAAGCCCCCAAGAATCTCAACAGACCTCAAGAGCAAGAGGCCCATTATCATGCTCCAAGAAACCCCCAGCAAGCCCAAGAGGCCACCAAAAGGGCTCCCAAGAGGCTCGGCGATCGTCCCAGACATGTACGAATTCGTACAATGTTCGGATACATGATTACCCGGCGCCGCGTCTACTTGCGAACGCTCTCCGCATGCCCCCACTCCGCTTCACAAGAGTTTCGGTGGCCCCCTGGGTCCCCTCTTGGGGCCGTCCTGGGGGCTACTTGGGCCGCATTGTGGGCCTCATGGGCCGTCTCGGTGCCATCTTGGGTCGTCTTGGAGCCCTCTTCGGTGGCCTCTTAGGCCGTCTTGGGGCGATCCTGGTGGCCTCTTGGGCCGTCTTGGAGCATTAGAACCCAGAAAAAGCGAGAACGCTAAAATCCGCCAGAAAACCAAGAGACAAGCAAGCTATGGTTCTGGCCTCGTGTGGCCCCCGAGGGGGTCCTCTTGGAGCCCCCCGGCGGCGTCTGCAGGGTCTCTTTGGCCGTCTTGAGGCTATTGTGAGCGTTTTGGAGCGCTCTGGGGCCGTCTCGGAGCCGTCTTGGAGCAGCGCAATCGCACTCGAAGCTCACGCGAAGTCTTTGAACACCTCAGGTTGGAACCCTCCTGAAAGCCCTCCGAGCCTCAAGCCGAGCCCTGCAAGAGGAAGCGTTTGTACACACAGCGGATACTTGGTGACCCCCCCGCGTGGAAGCTAAACCAAAATCTCTTTTGGGGCCTTTTTGGGTCTCTCTTGGGCCTTCTTGGGGTTCTTCTGAGAGGGTACGAAATTTAACATAACTTTAGCACAAGACGCTCTCCAATAAGGAGCGGGTTGTCTAAAATGTGTGTTGACTTGTTGGCCCTCCTGGAGGCCTCTTCAAGGCCCTCAGAGGGCTCCCGCAGGGGCCCAAGAGGGCCCAGGAGGGCGAGAGCCACAATTTTCTAACACCAATTTAACACAAGACGCTCTCCAATACGGAGGCGGTGTGTATTAAGTGTGCGTTGAATTCTTGGCCCCCTCGGTAGGGTCTTAAGGGCCCTCAGAAGGACCCCGCAGGGACCCAAGAGGCCCACGAGGGCCACAAGAGGGCCCCAAGAAGGCTTCAAGAGGGCCCGAAATTTTGCACAGCACCAGCACCAGCACCACGGGCAGCCCAGGCAGCACCAGCAGCACCAACGCCAGCAGTAACAGCTACATCTGCAGCAACAACAACAACAACAACAACAACAACAACAACAACAACAACAACAACGAGAGAGGCAGCAACGGAAAGATGATCCCAATATGGACCCAACAGGGGTTTTGGAAAGGATCACGAGATTACCCCTGTCGCCCCAAGATGCCCATCCTTGCTGAGCAATGGTCCCAATATGACCCCAGAGCAACCCTGCGGCCCCAAGAAAACACCGAGACGGACCCATTGTCTTCCGACTGAACTCAGGCTACCGCGCGACCCCGATTTTATTCCGAGGTGGCCCCAGAACGACCCCATGAGTCCGAGACGACTGTGACTCCGATGCGTTTCTTCCTTCTTACCTTGCTCTTGGCTTGGGCCGATACGACGGATGTGGGTGCTGGCCCTCCACCCCCTCGTCGTCGACTTCTTCCTCCTCCCCCTCGTCCTCGTCCCCCTCGTCGTCGTCGTCGTCGTCGTCGTCGTCGTCGTCGTCGTCGTCGTCGTCGTCGCTGTCCGCCTGGCCCCGTTGGCCCCCCACACATAGCAGAAAACCGAATCCCGAACACAAACCGAATCCATCCACTCTCTGATAACCATTGAGACTCACATTGTAAATGTTGCAGTCTTTTCCGGGTGGCCGGCGGGTTCGGCCGAGCTCCATTGGGAAAATAATGGAAAGACTTTCCGGCAGGCCATGGGGGCAGCGGATCGAAGGCGCTTGTGGCGAATCACCGCCGCCCAAACGTTGGGCCAATGCTTGGCCGAGCTATTGGACTATGTGTTCCCCAGCCGTTGTGGAATGGGGGAGGAAGAGGAGAAGGAGCAGGAGAGGAAGGAGGATGAGGAAGGGGAGGAGGAGGAGGAGGAGGAGCAGCAGGAGGAGGAGGAGGACGAGACGGAGGATGAGGAGGAGGCGGTCGAGGAGGAGGTGGAGGAGGAGGAGGAAGAAGAGAAGGAGAGGAGGAGGAGGAGGAGGAGGAGGAGGAGGAGGAGGAGGAGGAGGAGGAGGAGGAGGAGGAGGAGGAGTCGGTCGAGACGGTGGCCTCTTAGGGGCCTCTTGGGGCCTCTGTGAAGATTGTTTCGTCCATTCGGGGCCGTCTTGGATCGATCTCTTGGAGCCGTCTTGGGCCATCTTGGCCGTCTTGAATGGCCTCTTGGACCGTCTGGGAGACCCTTCAGGGCCATCTTGGCCGACTTCACGGTCATCCTGGCCGTCTTGGAGGCCATCTTGGACAGGCTTGGGCTGTCTTGGAGGCTGTCCTTGGGCCTTCTTGGGGGCATCTTGGAGGCCTCGTCGGCCGTCTGAGGCTGTCTGTCGGAAGCCCTCGAGGGCGAGAACGCCGATGTTATTATGAACCCCACTCGGTGCTCTATTGGGCCATCTTGGCCGACCTTGAGGGCATCTTGGACCGCCATGGAGGCCTCAGCGGCACCATGTGGCTCTCCTGGGAGCCTCATGGGTCGTTTTGGATATTCTTACAACCAGCACAGGGGGGGGTGGCAAACATCTTACATCAACATACGATTATGCGGTGATTTGGGCATCTGGGGGCCTCGGGGTTATCCAAAGGGCCCAGGAGGCCTCCAAGAGAGCCCCAGGACGGCCCCCTGGGGCCATCTTGGACGCATATGAACGTGGACTCCCCAAAGGCCTCCGGAACAAAAAACTCCAGGAGCGCTTGGCAGCGTCCAGGAACTCTGGAAATCCATGGCCTGAGGCCGTTGAAAACATATGCACAGTCTTCAGCACGCGATACCCAGCAGGACCTGAGATCATTGCACTTCGTGCCTCGCAGCACAGTGGCGGATAATCGACGCAGGGCGGGCTGGAGGCTTGGATGCGGGGCGATCTCTTGCGCCGCGAGTTAGTGTCCCTCTTTTGGATCGTGTCAACCAGCATTCATGTTTGTGTTGGTTAGGCCCCTTGGTAGCAATGGCCATGACGAAGCTCCCAGACTCGGTGGTGGCCAAAGTAGTATCTAGGAGTGGTGTCCCAGTCGACCCTCTCTCTCTCTCTCTTTCTCTCTCTCTCTCTCTCTCTCTTTCTCTCTTTCTCCCTAGCGCCGATTGTCGCAGGAGGATGTCCAGGAAGGCGCTTGAGCACGACCAGCTCCTCCTTATCCTCCTCCTCCTTCTCCTCGTCCTCCCAGCGCGCTTGACGAGACAACCCCTGCAGGGGCGTCTCTGGGTGGAGCCCAAGCCCGCTGTGCCAGGCCTGATTCCAGAGTTCAGATAGAACTGGCGACAGCGAAAGCAGAGCCAGACGTGGACCTTGGCACGCAGCGTCGTGAGTGAATCTCAGCAGAAAGGCATTACAGGACTCGCCTCTCAGCGTTGCTGCGCACTCTGTCCGTCAAGTAGCTAGTTTGGTCAGTTTGCTTTTGCGCCGCGTCATTTTTTCATTGTGGTCGCAAGGCGTCTTCTGGGTCGGAATGGTTCGATTTCTCGATCTCGGGTGTGGGGCTAGGTGGGGACTCGATATCTCAATGTCGGGGGCGCAGCCCGGCGGGGATTTGGTATCTCGATATCTCGATCTCAGTGGCGGGGCCGGGCGGAGACTCGATATCTAGATATCTCGATGTCGGGGGTGGGGCCGGGCGGGGCTTCGGCATTTCAATTTCCCGATATCTTATCTCGATATCGGGGGGCGGGGCCCGGCGGAGATCAGATATCTCGATATCTCGGTTATCTCGATATCTCGATATTGGGTGCGGGGTCGGGCGGGGACTCGATATCTCGGTATCGGGGGCGGGGCCGGGCGGGGATTAGGTGTCTGCATGTCGCGGGTGGGGGTGTTTGTATCGATACCGTGGCCTAGCTATGTCCGCCGCATTGCCCTCTGTGTGCATAGGCCGAGTTATCGAAATGCTCTGGAGGATATCGAGGTAGCGAAGGTTTTGTCATACACGTCCTTCATCCTCGTCGCTTCTTGAAAGCGCCCCGCCCTCCCCCATCCCTCGCCCAGCCGGCCGTGGTCGTGGAAGAAGGGAGGAGGAGAAGGAGGAGGAGAACGAGGAGGGTGAGGAGAAGGAGGAGGACGAGGATGAGGAGGAGCATGAGGAGGAATACGTGGAGGAGTCCGCCGCCTGAAGCCTGATTTTTTTTAGGTCGGCAGGCAGGCAGAGAAGGGTTAGGGCGAGGAGGAGGAGGAGGAGGAGGTGGAGGATGTGGAGGAGGAAGAGGAGGAGGGCGTCGCCTGAAACAGACGCCCGCGCCAAAACCGTCACCCGAGGCGTTTGTTTTGGACGGGCGGGTTTTTGGGGACATCAGCAGCAGCAGCAGCAGCAGGAGGAGGAGGATGAGGAGAAGGAGGAGAAGGCGCAGGAGGAGGAGGAGGAGGGGAGGAACAGGAGCAGGAAGGATGATGATGCTGATGCTGGTGCTGATGCTGGTGATGATGATGATGATGATGACGATGATGATGATGATGATGATGATGATGATGATGATGATGATGATGATGATGATGATGATGATGATGATGATGATGATGATGACGATGATGCTGATGCTGATGCTGATGCTGATGCTGATGCTGATGCTGATGCTGATGCTGATGCTGATGCTGATGCTGATGCTGATGCTGATGCTGATGATGCCGCTGATGATGCTGATGCTGATGCTGATGCTGATGTTGCTGCTGATGATGATGATGATTATGCTGATGCTGATGATGATGATGCTGCTGATGATGATGATGTTGATGATGCTGATGATGAGGAGGAGGAGGAAGATGAGGAGGAGGAGGCCGTCGGCTGAACAAGGCGCCCGCGCCACAACAGTCACCCGAGGTGTTTGGTGGTTGATTTTGGGCGAGCGTGTTTTTTTGAGGGCAGCAGCAGGAGGATGACGACGACGAGGAGGACGAGGAGGAGGAGGAGAAGGAAAAGGATGAGGAGGATAAAACCGTCGCCAGAAAATACTGCCCGCGCCAAAACAGTCACCCAAGGCGTTTCGTGATTGATTTTTGGGCGGGCGTTCTTTTTTTTGGAGGTTAGCAGGAGGAGGAAGAAGGAGGAGGAGGAGGAGGAGGAATAGGAGGAGGCCGTCGCCTAAGGCCTAAGGCCTGGTGTTTTGGAGGTCGGCAGGGGGAGGGGAAAGAGGAGGAGGAGGAGAAGGAGGAGGAGGAGGAGCAGGAGGAGGAGGAGGAGGCCGTCGCCTGAAAAAAAACGCCCGCGCCAAAACAGTCACCCCAGGCGTTTGGAGGTTGTTCTGGGCGGGCGTGATTTGTTGAAGGTCAGCAGGAGGAGGAGAAGGAGGAGGAGGCGGAGGAGAAGGGCGAGGAGGTGGAGGAGGGCGAGGAGGAGGAGAAGGAGGAGGAGGCCGCCGGCTGAGAAAAGGCGCCCCCGCCAACAGTCACCCGCGGCGTTTGGTGACTGTTTTGGGCGGGCGTGATTTTTGGAGGTCGGCAGGAGGAGGGAGAGGAGGACGAGGAGGACGACGACGACCAGTGTAAACCCAAGACCCATGAACGAAATTCTAATTGATCCTCCCTCCAAGTTCCCTCATAAGCCCCTAGAGGGATTCATTTTCACCAAGGGAAGTACCCCGTTGGAAACAACCGTTCGAAAATCCGGAATTGTGCCAGGACGCCGTTCTTGGGATATCAACGCCACGAATCACCGCTACTGTTGCGTCTCGACGATCTTGGTCTTGGGACTTCAACACCGCGAAGCAACGTGACTGTTGCGCCCTGGCGTTTCGACACCATGCCAAAACAGCATGTCTGGGACGTTGGCCATGCTAATGTTTGAATATGCTGCAAACCCTGAAGGCGAATGTGCGCGGCGCTAATGCAATCGCCGCATTTTGAAAAGGAGCCGCCTTCTATCCGTGAAACGAATGTTTATACCGGAGGTGAGGGGGTGAGATCGAAGTGGAACGGAGAGCCCCCCTACCGGGAAATCGATTTCGGTTTCGTGTTCGTGCGTGCCGTGCGGGCGAGGCGAAGCTGCGTGGGCGGGCGAGAGAAAGTCTCCTGTGGCTGAGGCGCGGCCGGACCAAATGACTCCCTTCCGGGCGGCCGGTGGCCCGCGTGTCCCGCCGGTGTCCCGCTGGTGTCCCGTGTGGCTGAGGCGCGGCCGGACCAAATGACTCCCTTCCGGGCGGCCGGTGGCCCGCGGTGTCCCGCCGGTGTCCCGCGGTGTCCCGCGGTGTCCCCCGGTGTCCCGCGGTGTCCCGCGGTGCCCCGCCGGTGTCCCGCGGTGTCCCGCGAGGATGATGATGATGAGATGATGATGATGATGATGATGATGATGATGATGCTGATGGTAATAGATGATGATGATGATGGTGTCCCGATGGAGATGATGATGATGATGATGTTGATGATGGTGTCGATGATGATGATAGTGTCCCGATGATGAGAATGATGATGCTCATGATGAGTATGTTGATGATGATGACGATGATGGTGTCCCCATGATGATGATGATGATGATGATTCCGATGATATTGGTGATGATGATGTTGATGGAAATGGTGTCCCGGCGATGATGATGTTGGTGATGATGTTGATGATGCTTATGGTGTTCCGATGATGATGATGGTGATGGCGATGGTGATGATGATGATGGTGATGCTGATGGTGTCCCGATGATGATAAGAATGATAATGGCGATGTTGATGATGATGTTGTTCATGATGATGATGGTGCCCCAATGATGATGATGTTGTTGATGATGATGATGTTGACGATGATGATGCGATGATCATGATGATGATGGTGTCCGAGGATGATGACGATGTTGATGATAACGCTGATGGTGAGAACGATGGTGATCATGATGTGTCCCGATTATGATGATGAGTACGATGATGTTGCTGATGATGATGACGATGAATGTGTCCCGATGATGATGATGATGATGTTGATGATGATATGATGATGGTGATGATGATGATGTTGTCCCGATGATGATGCTGACGTTGATGATGAGGTTTTCTATGATAATGATGATGACGATGCCTTCATCATAATGACGATGTTGGTGATGATGCTGATGTTGATGATGTGGATGATGATGATGGCGTTGATTGTGAGATCGATTGTGATATCGATAATGAGATCGATATGGATACCGAGTGTGAGATCGATTGTGTAATCGATTGTGAGATCGATTGTGAGATCAATTGTGAGATCGATTGAATGAGATAGATCGAGTGATATCGATTGTGAGATCGATCGAGTGAGATCGATCGAGCGAGACCGATAGTGAGATCGATACTGAGATGAAGGCTGTGTGCCGATGATGACGAAGGCTGTGTGCCGATGATGATGATGTTGCTGACTATGATGAGATGATGATGGGGATGATGATGATGATGGCCTGATGATGGCGTTGATGACGATGATGATGATGACGACCGTGTCCCGATGACGATGAACATGATGATGTTGGTGATGATGATGATGACGTTGAATGTTAGATCGATTGTGATATCGGTAATGAGATCCATAGTGAGACCGAATGTGAGATCGATTGTGAGATCGATAATCAGATCAATGATGATACCGAGCGAATGAGATATATCGAGTGAGATCGATTGTGAGATCGATCGAGTGAGATCGATCGAGCGAGACCGATAGTGAGATGGATAGTGAGACCGATCGAGTGAGACGCTGCATCCTCCCCCCCCCGAACCTCCTTATCACCCGAAGGGTGGTCGTATAGGTGATTATATACAAAACTGCATTAGCGCTTCGCGCCATGCTCCTTGTTCCTTGCGAGTCCGAATGTAGGCGGCGTGCGTGCGTGTGGACGTGGGGCCGGCCACCGCCAAGAAACGACCTGTGCCAGAGGCGCGAGTGGGTTCCAAGTGGTGGCGTCACCCTGCCCCCCCGACAGCGTTGCAGTGAAGGTTTTGATATGTAGACCATAGTTTCCGACAGGGTGTCCCGACATGTTCTGGAAACTTCGGTTCACAACAACGCGCCCCCAAAAATGACACCTGGCTTCCCCACCGCGTTGCGCTGTAGGTTGCAGGCTGAAAACCATGGTTTCCGTTCGGGTGTTTTCAGATGTTGGAAAATTTGGGTTCCTTGGCAGCGTTGCTCCGAAGATTGTGATTTCAAATCCATGGTTTCAGACTGGGTGTCCCAACATATTGTGGAAATCTCGCTTCTCGACGGGGGTTCCAGACAGGTTGTCCCAAGATTGCCTTAGAGAGTGTCAGGACGACCCCAAAGAAGGCCATTGGCCTTCGAGCTTGTCTGAAGGGCAAACCTGTGGAGAT